TTTAGTCCCCCAGTGATACTGCCTGATGAACTAGGTCAGAGGTCATGCCTGCTTGTGCTTAGTTGCTGCCCTTTGAAGGGGGTAGTAGCTGCCTGGGAGGTGGGAAAAGTGTCAGGGATGGCAGCTTCCCGGAGGCGCTCCCAGATGGCTCTGTGGGTTTCCTGGGATGTCCTTCCTTACCCCACCATGGCATTGGGGTGCCATGTCCCTGCACTCCAGGGAGTGCCAGAGGGCTGTCCTGGCTGAGAGCCCAAGGGCCAACAAACCCCAGCCCCACGGCCCTCCTTTAGCCTTTGTTCCTCTCCCCCAGTGAAGAACTGGCTCTACCAGTTCTGGGACTGAGAATCATGGCCACATGTTACCCTGCAGCTCCCTGGGGTGGGGTGGGGGTGTCTGCTCGGGGAGTGGGCTGGGGTATGCCTGGACCTTGGTGAGGCATGCGACCCCAACTCTGAGTTTGGAGAGGTCCACTGGTGCTCAGCCCTGCTCTGTGGTCAGGCTGAAGGGGTCCCCAGGACTGAGCGCAACTTCGGTAGAACAAACATTGGCTGAACATCTGCCATATGCTTTACTGGCAAGGTCAGGGATTGACAGGGCTTCAAAGCACGTGCACCCAGACTGTGGAGGCAGGAACTACGCAGGGTGGGGGGAGGGGTGGGGCCGGAGGTTCCCAGGTGGGAGCAAGCAAGTCTGGGGCTCTGGGAGGCTTCTTAGAAGAAGTAGCTTCAGAGAACAGAATTATTATTATTAAATATTTAGAGACAGGGTCTCAGTCATGTACGCTGGAGTACAGTGGCATAATCACAGCTCACTGCAGCCTTGAACTCCTGGGCTCAAGCGATCTTCCTGCCTCAGCCTCCTGAGTGGCTGGGACTACAAGTGCGTGCCACTACACGTGGCTAATTTTTTCTTTTTCTTTTTCTTCTTCTTCTTCTTCTTTTTTTTTTTTTTTTGTAGAGATAGGGTCTGTTACCCAGGCTGGTCTCCAACTTCTGCGCTCAAGTGATCCTCTCGCCTCAGCCTCCCAAAGCACTGGGATTACAGGTGTGAGCCACTCTGTCACCGAGGCTGGAGTGCCGTGGTACGATCCTGGTTCACTGCAGCTTCAACCTCCTTGGGCTTAGGCAGTCCTCCCACCTCAGCCTCCCAAGTAGCTGAGATGACAGGTGTGTGCCACCATGCCCAGCTAATTTTTTTTGATTTTTTTTTTTGTAGAGATGGTATTTTGCCATGTTGTTCAGGCTGGTCTCAAACTCCTGGGCTCAAGCAATCCATCTGCCTCAGCCTTCCAAAGTGTTGGGATTACAGGTGTAAGCCACCGTGCCCAGTCATTATTATTATTACATTTTTTATTTTTTCGAGATGGAGTCTCACTCTGTTGCCCAGGCTGGAGTGCAGCGGTGCGATCTCAGCTCACTGCAACCTCCGCCTCCCGGGTTCAAGTGATTCTCCTGCCTCAGCCTCCCCCAGTAGCTGGGATTACAGGCATACGCCACCATGCCCAGCTAATTTTTGTATTTTTAGTAGAGAGGGGTTTTACCATATTGGCCAGGCTGGTCTCAAACTCCTGACCTTGTGATCCGCCCACCTCGGTCTCCCAAAGTGCTGGGATTACAGGTGTGAGCCACCACGCCTGGCCTATTATTATTATTGTTATTACTATTATTATTTTTGAAATAGAGTCTCACTCTGTCGCCCAGGCTGGAGTGCAGTGGCGTGATCTTGGCTCACTGCAGTCTCCGTCTCCCGAGTTCAAGCGATTCTTCTGCCTCAGCCTCCTGAGTAGCTGGGACTACAGCATGTACCACCACACCCAGCTAATTTTTGTATTTTTAATAGAGACGGGGTTTCACCATATTGGCCAGGGTGATCTCAAACTCCTGACCTTGTGATCCGCCTGCCTTGGCCTCCCTAAGTGCTGGGATTACAGGCGTGAACCACTGCGCCTGGCCATTATTATTTTTTTTTAACAGAGTCTTGCTCTGTTGCACAGGCTTGAGGGCAGTGGTGCCATCACAGCTCCCTGTAGTCTTGACCTTTGGGGCTCATGGGATCCTCCCACCTCAGCCTCCTTAGAGGTTGGGCGGGCCCACCTGGCGAATTTGTTTTTATTTTTTGTAGAGACAGGGTCCCTACAATGACCATGTTGCCCAGGCTGGTTGTGAACTCCTGGGCTCAAGCAATTCTCCCACCTTGGCCTCCCAAAGTGCTGGGATTACAGACATGAGCCACCATGCCCGGCCCCAGAATTATTTTTAAACAAGATATATATTGTTTTCTGATGATAAGAGTAACGTGTATGAAGTGCAGACGTGTGGTGGTAGCAGCGACCTCAGGTTTTATTGGCTGTAGGATTTCAGAGAAGGAAGAAAGCCGTGTTGGAGAAAGCAGGAAGGGGTCTTGCCGGAAGTGATACTGGGAAGGAGCCGTAAAGGGATGGGCCTGAGGAGGTGCACATGCCTTGGACACTCTGGTCCCTGAACATTCAAGAGGAGAAAAATAGTAACGTGTTCTTACAGAAAAACATAAAGAAAAATATAAAACCATCCAAAGGGAGAGTTGCTATTAACATTCTGGTTCATTTTCTTCTTTTTTTTTTTTTTTTTTTTGAGACAGAGTCTTGCTCTGTCACCCAGGCTGGAATGTAGTGGCACGATCTGAGCTCACTGCAAACTCCGCCTCCTGGGTTCAAGCAGTTCTCTGCCACAGCCTCTTGAGTAGCTGGGATTACAGACACCTGCCACCATGCCCGGCTAATTTTAGTATTTTTGGTAGAGAAGTTTCACCATCTTGGCCAGGCTGGTTTTGAACTCCTGACCTCGTGATCTACCTGCCCCAGCCTCCCAAAGTGCTGGGATTACAAGCATGAGCCACTTCGCCCGGCCTAGTCTAGTCTTTTATTCATGTATAATTTAAAATGAATTGTGACCATCCTAGAGGAGGTTTTATATCTTGTGTGTGTGTGTTTTTTTTTGAGATGGGGTTTTGCTCTTCTTGCCCAGGGTGGAGTGCAGTGGCATGATGTTGGCTCACTGCAACCTCTGCCTCCTGAGTTCAAGTGATTCTCCTGCCTCAGCCTCCTGAGTAGCTGGGATTATAGGTGCCTGCCACCACGCCTGGCTAATTTTTTGTATTTTTAGTAGAGACAGGGTTTCACCATGTTGGCCAGGCTGGTCTCAAACTCCTGACCTCA